AAGCTTTCCAAATTATTTAAAAAGTATCCAAAAGCATTATTATTTATAACCTGCAATTTGACATAATTACTTTGTTACATTGATTCTTCACATAAACAATAAAAATTAAATTTATTTAATTGTTCATAACTCTCTTCTAAAGTAATTTATCACCTTATTCGTTCAAATTCAAATCAATTTTCTTGCTACCGTTCTTTACGTTTATAACTGAAAAGTAAAAAATTTGCTTCATTGAGAAGTTCTATCTTTGATGCAATCTTGCATCCTGAGATTGAACAACTGGCCATTACATTGATTGACTGTCAAACCAGAAAAGTGATCAATTGTTCATTTTTAATTTTAATTCATTATTTCATCTTAATAAAACCATCTTCTAATTGTAATCAATGAGATTGCTATGATTGCAAAAAATTTTGATCTTTTTCCAACTGTCAGTTCAGTTATAGGTATAACTATTACTTAGGAGTACAATTCCCAATTAGCGTGTTGTTCATTTTAATGTTATCACAAATAATTAAGAATTCAAAAGAATTTCATGATTGAAGAAAATTAATTGAAGGGAAGTGTATTTAAGTTAGAAATTTATTTTAAAAATTAAAACTAAGAACAAACTAATAATAGCCAACTAATATATATGCGTAAAGCTATCTTCGAGATTTCCAACATATGACAACAAATTAGTAACGAAACAAAAGTAAGTAAGCAATATTCGGTTTCAAACAGTAAACAATATTTTTTACAAATAAAGATATTTGGAAGCAAAGAATGCAGGACGAAGAATTATATATGTATTTCATACTAACGGATAACCTATGGAGCATTATGACAAACCGGATGGATCTATTCGAGAATGTAATCCCATCGTGTACAGAGGAGATTGATATGAACGATTTTCTAATCCGAGATTTTCTAATTATTTCATATCTGCTTGACCTTTATAAAATTGTTGACCATTGGTCAGCAAAATCACTCTAACAGAACAATTTTTCTGATAGCTTAAACTTTTCAGAGAAGAGCATAAATGTCATTTGTAACATTTTATATGAACGAATAACTGTCAGAGCAGCAAAGCGAGACAAACAAATTTCCCTTTTCGCAAACATTTTTTTTTTTTTTTTTGTTGTTACCAGCAGAGATGTCTCTCTACCAAAAAACATGTAGTAACGGAAGTTTTTCGACCTCAAATGGGTCCAATAATCAACCAATCCGATTACCCACCAAAATTAAGGAAGAAAAGGAAATCTTCGTGATAGTGTCTGATTTGCCTCGTAGATAAGGTCATCAACCCTGTTTTCATCCTCTCTTTCTACACGAGAAAACTGGCTTTTAGGTTTTATCATCACTAGTGTGATTGTAATAGGAATAGAATACCGGAAAGCAACTTGATTAAGATATGCTATTTAATATCATTCGTGTGAAGGTAATGGGCTGAAATAACTTCTTGGATAATGATAAGATGATTGCATGATAATCAGTCATTACATGTTAATTGAAGGAGTCAAAGCTGTTGACTCTTGATATATAAAAAAGGGTAATGAAATCATTTCATTTGAACTGAACTTTGATTATAAGACTTTTAGTAGTAAAGCAAGAGATCAGCTCACTTAACTATCATTTGTTGAAAACACAACAAGATCAGTGTTTAAAGAGTGGGAAGAAGAATGAAATGAACCATTTACTTAAAATTTTTAAAAGTTTCGGAAAAGAGTTTTTCCTCAAGTTTTCACATACTCCGTCACAATTCCACACTATCTGTTCTTGCATTTACTATTTGCTACAGTTCTAAAAGAATAATCTTACTGAAATTATCATCACTTCCATATTGAAGGCTTTTGTTAATAATAAACCAAAGAAAAGTAGTGAAATATGCTTATTAAAACGCAGCTGTCCACGAGTGGTATACGTACATATCAGACGTGTGTATCAGTTAACCGAATAATGCATGGATGATCAATTGCAAATAAACATAACGCTTATCAATAAACTGTTAATCTAACAAAGCACCTTCAAAAATATTATCCTAAAAAAAGAAGACTACATGAAATGACCAATCAATAACTTGTAACGTGATATGTGAATTCCATTCACGTGGTTCATGAAGTGCATGTATTTGTTTTAAAAAATTTTGTGATTTGTATTTTGAATGAGTACTTGTTGGGATTTCATTTTATTTTCAAAGTGCATCCTAACTTTTTGTCACAATACTGTACTTAAAATTTTTGCTTGCTGCTGAAAAATTGATGAGCTGTCAGCAATGTTATTTACTAAAAAAAATATACCTTAATCATTTTATTATAACAATTAGTAAATTAATGTTCTTTTTTCCTTTAATAGTAGCAATAAATCTTTAAAGCATTTAAGAAAGTGAGCAAATTGCAAATTGTTTTGCAAATACAACATTTTGCAGTTCGTTTTGTCGACTATCATCTTGCAAGAAAACTCTTAAAATTCGATTTTCATAACGAAGAACTTATCTGAAAGTTTGTTACTTGAATGGAATAACATAATTTCAATTACAGAAATTAAGAAATAACATATTTAAATCGCTTCATTGGAAATTTTAAATGCCCAGATCTTCACTTCAAAAAATATGATATTTGGATTCATCTAATAGAAAAAGCCTTCCACACATGAATAGGTCAAGTTGTCAGCTTTCCAAAACTTAATAAATTTGATTATATTTAACTGCACTTGTGTAAACAAGTTAGCTGAAAAGGGATCCGGTTGTGCATTCAGTTATGACCAATTTGATCCATTCATGTCACCCAGCAGAATATTTCATTCACCAACACTCGACCCGAGGAATAACTCGAATTACCACTATGTGCACTCAAGATTTTGATCCATTTTCTGTATCAGAAATATCACATTTCTAGTTTCCTGAAATCAAAATATTTTAAAACGTCAAAAGGGAGGTAACTTCTTAAACAAATAATTGAATGAATGAATATTCTGATAATGAATCTGTCAGACAATGATTTACTAGTGTAAATCATTAATAAAAAACTACCATAATTATACCTATTTATTTTGAAACATTTCTAATACTATCATTTTCCTCGAGTACAAATATCTATGAGACATTCGGGATCAGTAATTAATCTTATTACTACATAATGAAATAATTCAAAATTTACAGTCTTAGTAAATGTTTAATTTGTAACTGGCAAATTATTCAGCTTTTTAAGAAAGTTGCAAAAGTAAGTAAAAATTTGAAAGGAAACCGTTGAAATTCGAAAGCTACAAAGAGGCGAAGCTTCAACAAACCAGTACAAATTGTAAATAGAACAGTACAAATTGATACTCATTGCTAGATTAGATGCTCGATTTATGGTTCAAGTTTTTGAAAAGAAGTTTAAATGATCGTAAGGTTCAGTTGCATTATACTTTGGTGATTTATTAGGCTAGAAGTTGCCATTAAATGTAATATATCGTACTGTGATACTTGACGAACGGCATTACATTTCTTCCTTCTATACACAATCAATTGAATTTCATTCACTTACTACATAGGCAGTTCAAAAACTTAAAAAAAGATGAGAACCTCAAAAATTTATAAAATTCAATTTCGACATTATTGTATTTAATACTGAAGCTAAATTTTATAATAATCATTAAAATTTCTGTTGAATGCAAGTTTTATGTTGCTTTTATTTGCTTTCATTCGTTTTTAGCTAATGATATTGTGCAAACAATATCAAGTACAGATATACACGTGGAGTCTACAAGTTACGAGTGATACGAGTCAACAAGAATTTATTAAGTTACGAGGACTAAAAATATAGGTATAACACTAGCGAGACGTAAATATGTGCATGAAATATGCGGAAACTATAGTTGAGCAAAAAGGTGAAATCGCATATTAGATTTAGAATGACATGCCAGACTAAAGCAAGAAATATAAATAAGGAGCTGCAAACGTTTTAACCTGTCATATCCGTACTTTTCATCTCGGTACCTTAACAATGAAAGAGGTAAACATAAGGTGAAATGTTTTTGGTCCACCACTTAACGAAGTATCGTTGTGTGCAGCGATACAGTATCACTGTGAATTATTAAGTATGAACTTAAGCTAGAAATCAAAAATGAGACGAACTGGAAGATAATAGCGCAAGATAATTGTAGCATGAATAACTAAATTGCTACTCACTTGCGATAACTTTTTCTTCTCAGATGAAATTTGTTCCATTTTTTTAGTGGAAGTGGTACAATGAACTAACCTACTTGGCTTAAGCTTATCTAAATCAATGAGTAATAATGCCTTTTCAAAAATAATAAGTCTAAATATAATAATAATAATAATAATAATAATAATAAAGATGGTAATAATAGTAATAATAAGATAAATAATAAGACATAAAATACGAAACACCGAGGACACTCGGTCCACTCAATAAGTTTGCAAAATAGCCATGCCTTCATAAGAAAGTATTAGACTTTTATAAAAGAAAATTTTCTACTCATTTAGGTCAAATGCATAATGATTCTTCTTTATTTTGATTACTGTTGTGATAAATTGATTGGTTTGAAATGCCTGAATGTGTTGGATGGGGCAGAATTGGTATCCATACAGAATTTTACTCTTTTTGTGGATCTGCACCGCGTTGCAAGAATAAAATTGACCCGAATTCCGGGTATCAGAGATTTAACATATTTAATATAACATGATCCATCTCTGAGAGATGCATCCATCCATTCACAACAGGTACATTCCGTATCTTTTTACATATCTACTCAGTCCAATCTTGCTCCAAAAATACCTTCTATTTCGTTATTTCTTCTTTCTTCACTTAAATTTCTTTTGAAACTAAAAAATTAATACTTTTCTGATGCGATCAGTTTATGTGTACGTGTTTTTATGAATTGTACGCATATGTTTAAATCGTCGCATGTTTTATTCGCGTACAAGTGCGCCCATATATTCATTATGAAGTAAACTTGGTTCAATATCAAAATCCAAATCTTAGCTTTCAAAAAAAATTCAATTTTCAGAAAAAGAAATGTTATCGAAACTAATTTTGCTGTCATTAATTACTTTCATTTGGTTTGGCACAATTTGCAGAGCAGAGGAGGAAAAGGTTCTGTCACCGAGTTATTTATTTTTTCTTTTTCTTCAAACAAGATGTCTCATTGTTTTCTTTCTTATAATACTCAGGTGTACTAAAGGTGACATTAATTATTGGTAACACGACGTGTCACATTTGCTTGAAGATATCCTATCAATTTTTCCAACTCATAAACAATGTCTCTTCCGAGCTTTATCAAATTGTTAGGTAATTTTGACAATAATGTAGACATTCAACAACTATTTAGTTTAATAATAGCAAATTTGCTAGGGGAAATGCGGCCATCCAAAAACAGATTACAGTCCATGTGTCACTAGGAGTCAAAGCGACGTACTGTTCCGCCAATGTTGCCAACTATACGTACCAGAAGGATGCCATGATTTATGTCAATACGAAATTGAAGAGATTCCAGCTCGAAATTTGGTATGAAAAAGCTATTTATAAATTTACTGATTGCTTGGCTAATCATAAGAGATATGAATTTAGCACGGATTTCCCAGAGATAGTAATGAACTCCTGGATGGATTCACTCAAATTATAAATGAAACTTTTAATTTCATATTATACTGTTCGCTTACTTTTTTTTCAACCAAATCAGTTTATTCTTTTTCACGAAAGAATTTATATCATTCAATACGTTTACCACAGTAAATTTTTAGTTAATAAAAACAATTGCATCTAAAAAATGTGGCCTGAAACATATCAGTGCTATACTCTATTGTGCTTCACAAAATCAGGTAAAAATGAAATCCTTTACTCCTAAAATTTCTTTAATCAAGTACCATCGCAAATATGCAAAACGGGTTGTAAGAAACTCGACAAGATTCTAGCAATTAATATTAATAGATCTGTCTCGAATTTCAAATTATTTTTTGTTTGCTCAGAATCATTTTGACCTATATATTGCTTATTAACAACGCATTTAAATTTTCCGCCTAACATTTCAGCAAATCCTTTGAATAATAATAGAACAAATGTATGAGTTTACAATCTCTTGTGTGTAGTTTTCTTGAAGAAATAAATTACTCTTAAAGTTTTACGAAGTCGAGTTTCCTTTTCAGGATAATCGCAAATGTTGTCATCATTTGAATTTAGCGGACAATAAATTAGGAGTTGGTGATCGTTGCTTACGATTTTGTGATCCAGCAGGACAAGGAATTAATGCCATCAGTAAGAGTGATGCAACGTGTCTGTTTAACTTGAACGTAATATTATACTGTCATCAAAGTGGTATCCCACTAGATTGAGTTAAATCTTTTCTTATTTAACATTAATTAAGATTTCAGAAATATGATTCAGGATGCATTTCATGATAAATAATAGACAATTTGTCGATTAGATTAATACTTTACATAACGTATACTACCTGCTTTTTAAACGTTTTAAACCGTCTTAATTTAATTTTTTATGCACCTTTTTAACTTTTAAAGTCATAATATATAATAAATTGATGAATTATCCCGACAAATTAACAAAAATACCAGTAATCTGAGTAAAATAAGTCCACCAAACACCAAAAATAAGCACATATTTACATTGTTTGTTGACATCAATACCTCCGGATCTTCCTTTGCATATAAATTTTACAAATACCTCTAGTGCACTGTGTGCAGGTGAATAAGCGATATTTCAACGGTAAAGATGACACCTAAATAATTTTGACCAGCAATTCATTTCAGTTATTGAATAATATGTAAACAATATGAGCAAAGTAAAATATAGAGAAAACATTAATGAGAAAACATTAAGAGATGAGAAAAACATTAACACCATGAGAAAACATTATTAACAAGATCACTGTACCTGTTGCACATCACTACTTGAACAATAAATCAGTGGCGCAGAAGAGGATGTCAAATTATCAACACAGCAAGGTAGAGGACTTTAAATGTTATTTACACTTTTGGAAGAAACTAATTGAAAATTAAATTAAGCAAAACATTGTTAATTTATTCCTTAGTTCAATCTGATTTTTAATCAGTCTTTAGCTAGCACTTCCATCGTTAATGTCACCTCCACTGCTTCTCATGGAAAAAATACTCTAAAACTGGAGACTTCATACAGAGTAGCAATTAAACTTTTCTCGAAATTTAGCTTAATAAATTTCAATATCTCATTTGTCTCCTCTGTTGTCTCGTTCACACGACACTTATCGAAAGCAACTGCAGAGAGGAATGAAATGAAGTGCAGCGGACGAAATTAGCACTTCTGTCATACACAAATTAACTATCAGGTGTGTATTCAGAAATTTTTAATGGTTTGAATTAAACGGTTATGCGTGAGTCAGTGAACAGTACCTGTATTCTTTTTGACTCCTCACTTTTCTAGTTGACTGGTCTGCTCTACTGCACTTGCTAATAGTCAGAATTCCTTACTGACTTTTGGTTCTCAGTTAGGATTTGTGTCCAAAATATATTTGCTGTTTGGGTAAACGATGTTTTAGTAAAATAACCAAAAACTACAAGCGTTATTATTGTTGTATCACAAATTGAATTTATAACAGCAATGACGATTATTTCATATGATATTAAACAAAGGAAAGTAAAATCGACAAAATGATGAAAACAATCGTATTACTCGAGCGATGTTACAATAAACAAACTGGCCACGATAATCAAACACATACTCGTCGTCTGGATGATGCAAGCAAACACAAATACAAGTAGCGGTTGAAACCAAAAACCACATCTGCATAAATACAATCCTTTCAACTGAAGCAAAAAATAGGAGACTGAACCACCGACATCAGACGAGCAAGATAAAATCACCAGAAATAATAATTCGCACAGGGAAATAGTAATAAACACATAAATGTAAACTCATTATGGGAAATTATTCTACTTTCCATATTTCCAAAAAGGATTAATCTATAATAGACAAAACTAAAATATGAATCCGGAGAATGATCCCAAAGAGGTATTACATATCACTATCATTAAATATATCCCAAACATCATAATCTGAAGAGCAATTTGGATTGATTCTAAAATTATGGAATCGCAAAGTAGTAAATCGTCTTCCTAAACCAATCTGTGCATCTTCTTGGTATCTACCAGGGAATATCGGTACTAAAACTACAACTTACCATTTGCGTTTTCCATGTACACAGATAAAGGTAGACGATGACGATAATTCAAGAGTCAAAGTCACAAATTTACAGAAATTCCAAGTTCGAGTTATCCAAAAAAAAGTTTTTTTTTTTTGCATCTTAATTCATCTTTAAATTTTTGGGACTTTAAACGAAAACTTATAACACTAGCACATTCGCCAGGGGAAACAATCCCTTCAAAGGACACCGGCATATCTGTTGCATTTCAAATAACTGAAATCTATGGAACACATTTTAAAAATACATGATTCTTATGCTACATGAATACTAAAAGCCCATATTGTTATGTATGTTTCAAAATGTTCCGGAACTTTCATTAATAAATAATAAATGCGCCTCATTTTAATTCGAGACATACCGCATCCAGAGAATGATGAGTGAGTTCTATAAAAAAAATAATAAAAATTACTTTATCCTGTAAATGGTAGATAACAAGGAATCAGTAAATATTTGACTTAAACGCATTCTGAGAAATTATACTGAAACCGACCATCGAACTCAAAACAGTTATAGAAGATGTGGATGGTTGAAATTATTCATGCAGGAGTGATCTGTTAACAAAGTCGATCACTATTGAGCAAAGCTGTACCGGAAGAGAACTTAACTGGATGCAGTGGTGAGAGAGCTACTCTAATTTGATGAAAGGTTGACAGTTCTCAACAACATAATCTGGAAAAAGGAATAAATATGCATACATTTGGCATAAATAATGGAGAAAATACACATAGGAATAGAATCAAACATTCAAAAAAGAAAACGCTCTTGCCAAAAATGCATTAAATGATAAAAAAAAATAAGATAAAATGCTACGAAAGAGGAGCAGATTAAGCAACAAAAAAGTAAATACAGTATGAACGCTGAAAAAAGAATTTAAAAGGCACATGAAAAGAAAAATTCACGGAATCAAGAATAGCGATGACAGAGAGTCAACTTTTAAAAAAGCATAGAACTTTTTCAGCCAAAAAGACCAATGAGCTAAGAATAAAATTTACAAGAAATAAATAATCTTAAATATAAAAATACCATTTTTAAATCATATTTTTGAAAAATCATGTAAACTTCGCGCTTCGAATGTCTAAAAGGTCATGAACTTGTAATTTTATTTCCTTAGGCTGCTAATAAGCTTTAATGTCCATTCCCACCAGAAAAAGTGAAAGAATGAATTGCAAGAAGACAAATCGCAATAAACCCGCTGAATGATTTTACCTGAACAAAAAGTCAAAAAGTAATAGAATAAAAAGAAAAATGAAGAAATGACTACTCTGTATCGAGAAAGACTTCTGAGGCAACAAAGGCAAAAAAGCGAATCGTAGCGTGATACTGAAATGGAGAGGACGAACAGAACCGCACAACTAATATAATGAATTATTCTTTACGAAGTTTCTGTCGTCGATTGCAAAACCATACGCGAACTACCTGGAATAAATGAGCCACTTCAAGTGAAAATAGAAACTTTATGGGGCGTTTACGTAAAAACAGCAGAAGACTATATGTACAAAATCATCATGATAATCGTGATGCAGCTGGAATGGAGAATGTGGAAACTAATATGAGAAGATATACTCAGTCTAACAACCACGTGATAAAACAAAGCTATGAAATAACTTACATCTCGATCTAGCCCTACCAATTCGGCGATTTCCGCCATTCTATCGTGGTCCGGACGTGGGTTCATGTCAAAGTAAGCATCCAGTGCTGAACGCTGTGCTAAATCCAAGTTGGTTCGTTTTCGACGTTTTTTCAGCGGAACACCACCACCAGCGCCTGAACTGCACACAGTAGATCCATTTGGTGATGGTAACTCGTCGCATGGCATTTTATTACCACTGCTTGCATTAATGCTCATTAAAGAGCTCGGTTTGTTATTATTCAGTGGCAAATGTATCACCGATGTTGGATACTGAAATTCATCAACTTTACAACTACAAAATATCTCTTCAAACTTTTGATTTTTTATTTATCAAGCCTAGCTTTCAAATAAAGACTTTCTTCTCTAAAATACAGTTCTGTCTAAATCATTGCCACTTTATTTATGGTCCTTATAGCAGATTTAAGAAATCTGACATAAATAACAGACCAGATTTTATCTTGAAAGACTATAAAAAGCTTAAGCTGCTTTAATGAGTGTACTACATGAAATACAAAACTACTTTTCGGAACCTTCACTAATGCAAGCACGTCAATTATAATAGCATTTGTTCAAGAATTATATTGGAAAAAAGGAAGGTATAATTAAAAGTCTGAATAAATGTACTAATATACCTGAAAAAAATCTGAATAAATATCCTTAATATATATGTTCGAAGACCACCGAGCAAAAATTAATCCTAAGACAAATTTTACAGCAAAAAAAAAACAAAAAAACAAACCAGAACGAGGATGACAGAAGACTACATTTTAGAATCAGTAACCAAATTTCTTTGAAAATGAAAAATAATACAAAACAAACGATCTACGACATTCACCTATAGTAAACACTGGGAACTCAAATCTCCAACTCTTTCATCATGCAAAACAGAATTTTGTGGCAAAACAAATTAACAGACGCTTTTGCCATAAATACTAATTACTAACTTAGATTACTAACTCAATTATTTATTTAAATAACAGTATATGTCATATCGCCAATTATAATAGCATTTGTTAACGACTTACAATATCACCAATTATTACTCAATCAACTCATTAAATTTTAGAAGTTTTTCACCATTCCACACTATTACCAATGCAATAAACTCACGTTGTCAAAATCCTTATCAAAATATAAACATTCCTTACCGCTGTATCAGATTTCCTCAATTCCTATAACAAATTAGGTAATAAAGACCTCGATATTAAGTAATAAAAGTAGCAAACACACGAAATATCAAATGTAAAATGCCATAAAGTGTGCAAAGATATAAAACGGGATATGGATTATTCTTAAAAGGTCAAAAATGCTATTTAATGATTTCCTTATCAAATTTTAATACGGTAGACTATATGGGCGTGCAACACTATGACGTTATAACAGAAAAAATTGGAAAGACAGAAAAAGCTTAAGCTTTAGTAAGAAAGGCTTTTACTGCACGATATAATTTTAAAATCATATCCCAAATTCAGTGCAAAAAAATACGGAATTTCCGAAATTCCTAAAAGACGCAACATTACTAGGAAGAGATCAGAACATTCATGAATAAACGATAAATTTATTCAAATACAAATTACTTCCAAAATTCCTCGACTGACAGCACTTAAATCGTGATATGCGACCTTCAAGAGCTAAACCAACGTGCATCTCTGCATCGCTTTTAAGGTGAATTAGGCAACAGAACAACAGCATTCATTACCTATTTTACTGTTTACCTTTTATTCTCACCGGCATTTTTGCTACCATCTTGACATACATATCTATGAATCGATTCACTATAAATCCAGTTGCACCAACTACGCTTATCTTCAGTATCAAATTTCACAGTCTAATTCACTGCATGAGTTATAAAGCTTGTCCCGTCTCAGCTTGTAATATTTCCCCTTTTTTTTTTTTTTTTTTTTGTACTCCTCTGTTATAATTTCAGTTTTGCCATTAAATTACAGTTCAAAATAAACGACAACAAGTTTGTTTTGCAAATCATTCCTGAAATAGCAGAATAACAAGTAATAAAGTTTCCTAAGATATTCAATTGACAAAATTACCAGTTTGATGCCAAATTTTCAAAAATAACAATACTAACAATCTATGTACCTGTGATTAAAATTAAGGAAGCAGAATGAAAACTGAAAGCAAGTCTTTTTCCATTTCGAAGCAGTTCTTCAAATATGGAAATATTAACTATTCATATGTATAACTTCTAATTGAATACCCCTTTTCGAAGCCCTTCTGGAACTTAAGTCTAAGCAGTTCTCAGAATCGTGCATACAATAGCAAAATAAAATTCGATAAAAGTCAAAATAAAATAGGACAAGTCAGAATTACCTTCTTCCTCAAAAAACAAAAATAAAAAAATAAAAGAACATAATTAGCTTCTAGACCAGCTAATGATTAGGATGCATATTACAAGCAAGAATTCCCGAGAGTAAGACACTGAAATTTTGAAAGAGCTCTTAAAATATTTATATCATCAATCTTTTCGAATGACAGTTCTCTTTCATTTCATCAGATATTGTTCTATATCAAGCGATGTACGAAAAAACTGCTGAAGCATAGCTGACATTCGAATACAAAAGAAATTCTGAGGTACCATCATTATGTGTAGTTGGAATACTTTGCAAATAATGTAAAAAATATGATCGCTGAAAGAATTCCATTAGCAAGGATATATGCTGCGACAAAAAGAAATAAATCCAACAACAAACGAACTTGTGGAATTGGCTCTTTAGAAGGTGCATCCAAGAGATCACTGATAGTAGCGCCGTTGGCCAATGCCGCTTCTGCATCCTCCAACCATTCTTTGAGCAATGGCCGTAATTTGCACATATTTTTGAAGGACAAATTTAGTGCTTCGAAACGTGATATAGTTGTTTGCGAAAAATCAGTTCCATAACGGCGTCCAAGAGCAAGACCAACATCACCTTGAGTGAAACCTACAACTGCCAAATTCAGTGAAGTTTAATTTCATGTAAAGTTCAAATTGAAAGAGCTTACAAATTACTGGAAGCAATAAAAAATTTTTTATATGCTGAACTTCAGACCTGTCTAACTTTACGAAAAAAAAAAAAAATTAGTTGTGCAATTCATCAAACTGATATCATAAATCTTACCAAACTTGATGCGTTGCTTTTTGAATGTTTGAGCAAAATTTTCCAGCTCATCCAAATCAATCTTTTCTTCTTTAGTAATTGCACGTGCTGCACTGCTCAGAGTCTGGAATTGCATCGATAAAAATCAAAAGTTGCAGAAAGACAACTGACATTTACCTTTCTAAAAATCTTATCCTTCAAAATTTCATTTTCCTGATAATACTGTGAATACTGAAAAAAAAAATCTGAATATTAAAAACCAAAACAAAACAAAAACTATATCACCTATTCGAATAATATGGAAAGAACCTCTTCGTTTGCTCTCCTTTTAACGCTTAATTTTATATCACTAATTTTGCACTTCACTGCTTTATTCGACTGACGTTTTGGATCACCCAACTGCAATGAATGTAAACAGCTGATATTACATTAAAGTAAAGACGGATTTACGTTCTCAGAAATCTCCTGGATTCGTTTAGAAATATTATAGTAAAAAATTGATAAGCACAGAACGATAGCGAATAAAAGAAACATCCCATGTGGAGATTTTTCATTACTTTAAGAACAGAGTTAGATACTAGTTTGGAGAATAATAACGTATTGATAAATTTATCATGAATTCTGGAAAATGACCAACGTCTACCATATTAGCATTTTCACCGGCAGATGCTGCTCTACCATTGAGTGAAGAATGATCCCCTAAACGCTGATCGTGTTTTTTGCTGATTCCATTATGATCATCATTAAAAAAGATGTTTGGAGTACTGGTAGCAACAATTTCCGCCGTAGCAGACGTTGATGGAACTGCAGATAACTTCGGTTTAGGGCTATTCATAACATCAATCGCTGTCGCGTCATTACCATTTGTTGATGTAATCCCTGTAATTTGATTCTATTTCATGAAAATTAAATGCTCGTCTCACTAAGAAACGTATTTTTTAACCTGTATCTATAATGAATGCATTTCTTGCACTTTGTATACTTTTATACGCTCCTTTATTTATTTGCAAGTTCATACATCGTCTGTCAAGAATTTTGGAAGTGTAGAAAAAAAAAAAAAAAAACTACGCAGGTTTTTAAAAGAAAGAAATGAACCTAGTAAATCTCGTATCGTTCCTGCAGCTGTAGCAGCAGCTGCTGCTTCTAAGAGCAACATATTTGCGCTTTGCTGCTGATCAACACTCATCAAACCTATAAACATTGCCAAAAACTTGCAAATAAAGTGAGTTCAAAAGTAAGGTTCCAAATTAATAGGTACGATTGGGATTTAAATTTCCAAGTGGAAGAAGGGGGAAACTAAAGTTTATATTAAAAAGTCCAAGTGGAAGAAGGGGGAAACTAAAGTTTATATTAAAAAGCGGACATGCAGAAAAATAACGAACTAATGAATTGTGGAAAAATGCAAAGCAGTCAAGCATATATCTATTTTAAATAAAAATGAAGTGGAGTTCTTGATTTTTAAATAACACAGCACATAATTATAGCTGTGGCATCCAAGAATTGTTAAGCTTTTGATTTCATAATGAAATATTCTTCTTTAAAAAGAGATGAAAAAAAAGGCCAAATGTGGGTAAATGTCGAAAAGACAAGGTGAGAATAAAAGAACTTGGCGGTGGCATTAGTTTCTAACTCATGCGTGTATTTTATTTAAATATTTACACGATGTTTAAAATGGAAATAACTCTTTAAGACTTCCTCTCCCATGAACACAAGACCTTTTGAATGATAAGTGCTCATCTCTGATATGTTCATTAAAATTTCTTTTGCTCTTAAATATGAATAACTGTGATTGAAAAATCACTTTTGAGAATGAGAGCCTACCGGGAAAAGATGAATTATCACAACCGCCACATGAATGATGAATTGCTATAACTGTTCAACTTCTAATTTAGGTATATAATATACAAAATGCAAGATTACAGTTTCGTTGCATTACTGACAAGTTATGAGTAAAAATTTGCATTCCATCACGTTTCAAATTAAAAAAAAAAAATTACCCCAAAATTGTCTCTTACCAGATAAGTTGGCAAGCAAGCAGTCATTACATATTGCAGCATATAACAATACCGAAATTCAACACTTTTAGCAAGTCCTTTTTTGCAACAGTAAGTCTGTCAAAAGCTAATTCGACAGAAATATTAGTTAACTAATAAACCACACCAATCTAACATAACTTTGCGGCACAGTAATGAATATATTTCAGTATGTTAATGGAAAGAGCAGCAAATGTATTAATTACTAATAGTAAAATAATGATTAACTGCCCACATAAAGTTCCTCACATAATAAAAAGGACATTTCAGTCAATATGCAAATAATAAGCGAAGTAATAATTGCATGCGAATAAAGATAAAGCATTAGAAGGAAAAGAAGTTAAAATTACATACCATCATTGGTATAATATGGTGACGCTTTGGTTACCAATTCAGCCCGCTGATTAAATAGCAAAGTTTCACATGCAGGTAACATAGCTTCGTTTGCAGAAATAGGCTGTAGTGGCATAAGCGGTTTTAACGTTTCATACTGCGGAGAAAGTACTTCACAAACATCCACGTATTCCGCCGGTTCTGGTACCAATTTAGGTGCAACATGCTCAGCCAAATCAAAAGCTGTTCTCTGATGCAATGAATCCGTTGCCGTTGAATGAGCATTATTAATAAGTAACTCGTGCTTCATGGATATAGCTGAACCATTCGGTGATAAACTTGCTGTTTTAAGTAACACGCTGTCATACGGCTCTACAATATTTAATAAAACTTTTTACAATTTTAAGGACTCGCGTCCCACTACTCACTGAAAACGAATCCATCACTATTCGCAAGAACTAGTCAGAACACAGAAAAAAAACTGCTGTTGTTAAATTTGTGTTCTATTAAACAACTTTCAGCTAAAGAATAGGAGAGTAGGATTATCATTCGGATTTACTGATATATGACACGCGTCGCTTAGAAAACATGCAATTCACAGCAATGGTATCTCAGAAGTTCATGCAATAACCTTTGACTGATGAGAAACAAAAGGTGCAAAACTACTATTCTAAAAATAATGAGTCGAATGCTAAGAAGTGATGAGGAAGCATGCGTTTCGTAATAAAATTATTTCAAGCAATGTCTGTGATGACAAAACAGATTACAATTGCATAAGATGAAGCGAAAGACAGAATTTAAGAGGCAGAAAAATTGGCAATACTACACAAGCAAAACATGCTCATCAATAGAAATATTTGCAATTCATAAAAATATTAAATTAAACATACTGTCGGTAAGATTGGAGGCACATGGAACGCTTAAAGAGGGTGATAAACCAGCAGCTGAGAGAGATGCAAGCATTTCCGGAGTGATGAAAGCATTTGCTCCATCCGTTCCGGCAGCTACAAATATTTTTTAATAACGATAATTTCTAAACCTTCTATCAGTCGGCTAAAGATCAAAAAAATGTTTTATTTGAGTGTTTGAAACTTCAAAAAATATGTAAAAATAGGAATTCGTAACTATGAAGCTGTCGCTTTTGAAAAACTTCATTTGATCAATCTGTAAATTTCAGATCCCGAAATCCTGTGCACACTAATGAGTCTGTTCTATCTCATATTTCAGACGCTACATCTAAATTTAATCAAAACATAGCAAGACGGAAAAATAAACGAAGAACCAATGTACTGACCTACAAAGACATAACTCCAAAGATATATTATCGAATTCTAATAATAATTTGAAACAAGATGAAAATCACAAGATATAGCTTCGGGATGTATTATCAAATCTTAATAACTCGAAACAAAATTCCTATTTTGAAAACTTCACCTGCATTGGCCCAAAGAAAACTGTTCACTGCAGCATTCAAAATCAAGACATCATTCAAATTCGACATATTCGAACCATTCCGTTGATCCACAAATTGTTCAGAGAGCTTGCAAATTTTCGTATCGGTCGCTTCTTGATATTTATTTGTTCTAAAATACAGTAAGAAAAAATTCGAAGCACTTGCACAGCAACAGAACCTCAAGTCCTTAACAATTCGACTTTCTCTTTTCTAGCATAGAGATTATCTTCTATGTTTTCATCATATGTCGGCAATGAGTTATTACCAAAGTGAAGCCAAGTAAATACAGAAGTTAAGATATCTCTGCAGAAATAAGATAACTAAACAGTGAGATGTTAGTTGATAGTGCAGTCAAGAACAATGCAATGAAAGAATACTCAGACTCTTTATAAATATTCAAGAAATGTGCAACGGAAGAAACAAATTTGTAGCAGTAAATTTGCAAAAAATTGGAAAATAGCATATTTAACCTGAGCACATATCCTGAATGTAACTTTTATATGACACTTCCACACACCATGCACACTTCCTTCGCGATTCCCTTACTGTTAAACATAAGCAAATTGACGAAACAAAGCACCTGTCCACTGAACTATCGGTTTGTGAAGGTGAATTCTCGGTAAGTTGTATATCCACAGGTCCATGAAGAGCCTTTGATGAACCCATATTATGTTCAGTAGAATCCACATAGTCAATTATATCTGTGATAACAGACGATTCCACATTTTGTTGCTTTCCATTAACATCTTCTAACGACGATAAGCTGTTTGACCGTGTATCTATCATCAGTGCATCGGAAGTAGAAGAGATCGATGAAGTTTCCCAATGTTCCGCTTTAATTTCACCATTTAGGAGCTCGCTATCACAATGCAAACTAAAAGATGTTAGTAGTGCACAAACATGTATTATCTTGTGCAAAACTGTTACTTCTTCGTTACAGTACCCTCGAAAGTCATACAATGTAATAAATGTTACCACGACAGGATTATGAAACAATTATTTCTCCATAAAAGATCTGTAAAGAGAATTATTTTAACTACTCCATTACTTCGCTCCACTGCCTCATACAAATTCCTTATTCAAAAATTTCCGTTCTTTAACCAAACTTTCCCCTCTCTACTACAAACGTTTTGCATTTGGACTGTGCCTAAATAATTGCTAATGGTTACTTCGTAGTACGAATCCCTCACTGATACAATATGTGCTAGCACTTTTTGAATCAAAAAACTTGTAAAAAAGCAAAATAAACCTTTTTCGAGCAAAAAACAATTAGGCGTTACTAACAAACATGTATCAGAAACTTACAGACAGTTACAAAAGGCAAATTTTGAAGCAGAAGAATTAAAAGAGGAGAAATGGAAACAGATGTCTTTCCATTACATACATATTCGCTGCATCCGTTGCACCACACAAGTTTGGAGGTATACATTTCTCTGTCGTTGATAATAATCGTTGTAAATCAGTGCCACCTTTACAGAAGTCAGCTGATTCTGCAGTTTTTCCTTTCATATTGTTATTCTCTGCAATACTAAATATTATAAAAAATTATCATTATTTAACTACTATAAAGCACCAATTTATGAATTTTAAGCCAAGTTCCTAAGTTATGCAAAATCATCAAACCTATACCAAATCTACAATCCTTGCCGGCGATAACATTTCCTGATGAACAAACCGAATCTTCCGTAAGAGTGGTATCATCATCAACAGCTTCACCTGTTTCAGCACTTATGATCACAGGCTGAAATTCAGACAGAAAAAACAATTTAAATCACACAAAAAAAAAGTGAAAATAAATTAAGTGTTTCACCTCCTGCATAGTGCTGGGTCGTTTTTTTGGTAAGGCTGGTTTGCGTTTGCACGATGATCTGGAAACGCTGTTATCCGCTAAAATGAAATGAATCATTTATATAATTTTTAAATTCTAACAAATTTGCAAAATATGCAAATTTGAAGATTTTACAGTCCTCAGCGTTTACCTTTATAAAATAATGTAAACTATCACAAAAATCGGGTAGTGGCGCTAAAATTTATGCTAGGAACTAGAGTAAAACAATGAAGTCAAAGTCCCATTGCATAAACAGTAAACCAGAAATGGGAATATGTCACATCTACACTCCAGTGTTTTTCCTGTTTTTCCAATTCTGGGATACACAATTACTATCAACAAAAAGAAACAGTTCTGTGCAAATCAGGTTATAAAAGCAACTCAAAGTGATTGCAGAAACGATGTGGGATTCGAACCCTTACTAACTAATGGTTGCCGCCGATCGAGGAGACTATTTGATGATATATTCCTGCAGCTTAAAGCCGTACTCGTGCTTGCTTCAATATCAGATGTATCAGTCACCAAAGTTTCAGCACTTGCTCTTTTGAGCCCTCCCTCTTGCTGTTTACAAGCTGTAACCTGAAAATTTCAACACTCAAATTAAGTTGAAATTAGACCAAGTGAAGTTTCTTAAAAGCGCAAAGAGATGTCATAACAGTAACCGAAATCCCTTTCTAAAAATGTATCACGTTGGAAAACAGACACCAACAAGCAGAACAGACCACAAAACAACACACAACATCGTGTCATTTTGCAATTAAACTGGAGCTAATTTACATATTAGGAACAACGATATGACTCAAAGTGTGTAGTAACAGATGGCGGTAAGGAACCAGTCCTGAACAGGTTTCACATAACTAGCTGGAAACAAAACGTCATTCGGTCCTACAGTTTCTAACGTTTTGAAAAACCTTGACACGGTGACAGTTTCACACTGTCCCGGAATTTGTGAAACACCGCACTAGAAGAAAATTGATGCAAATTCGATAAGGCGGTGGTGAGAAGCAAGGGGTTGAGGGTTGCAGTTTTCCGGCCCAGGTATTGTCCAGAAGTTGGTTGAAAGTTTTGAATATAAATACCTCCTGTTGATTTTTTCCAATCGAATGAAGTCTCACTCCCATCAAATTAGCCTATTTAAATATGCAATACACTTCACTCCTGATCCCTTTCGAACAAGTTTGCTCTCTTTACGAAGTGAGTTACATAGTCTGACTGAAAACCGGAAATTACATAAGGAAAATGATAAGAGATAACAGGCAAACCTGAAATGAGATTGTTCCACCAACTGGCACATCACCTGATACATTTGCAAGATTCTTCGATATGCCTGAGCCTGAAAGAAGCTGATGATAGTAAGAAGGTCAGACGAAAAGTGGTGAATTAGAAATGTAAAATGGGATCAGATTTCAAATTCTGCTTCTGCTGCGAAAGCTTCTCAAGTAATTAAGCCATTATTGTGTGAAGTTCAACAAATGAGTGAAGTAGTAAATTGGGTGAATAACAAGAAAAAGCTGGGGAAGAAGAAACGTTTCCACCAAATCCCGCCTCAGAATCCTTTGATCGCTTCATAATTACTGCAATGGAAACTTGCAGCAGCCCAGTCAATATCAAATTGTTTATTCATCTTACTACACATCAAAGGGATGTTTAGAATCTGCAGAAATTTTATCATCATTTCGTAGCATCGTTAAAGGTAAGGCAGTGTTGTCGAGCGGAAGACAGTCCTTCAGTCTTTTCGTTTCTTTCCTTCTATCTTCATCATGAATCCATCCATCTCTTTATAAATTGCCTCTGACAAGACAAGATGACATTAAACACTAATCTTTGTAAAGTGTCAGATAAGGCTGTGTCACTTTAGTACTCGAATTTGAAGTACTATTCGATAAATACAGTAACAGTGAGATTATCTAAAAGCATACCTTCCATAGGTCTTCCCGCATTTGTATTAGCAGGTTCATTTCTAGGTTTGTTGTCTCGTGAAGTACACTCAATAAACATACTTGACATTTTTGGCCAAAAATCGATGAATTTCACAGCTTCCCGTAGATGTTTACATCCAGTTTTGTTCCCGAATCAAAAATATACAAGCAAATTACTTTTTCTACAGGATCTCTAACTGTAATCGAATACATAACATATCATCAATTATTATAAGTAGATCGAAGATATGCGCACATTAACATAACTTTAATTTCAACACTAGTTTTTTTAATCGTCAAAATTCTTAGTTCCTTTCTCCTACTTCTCTTATTTAATTTCTTCCTGCTAACTTAATTTCCTCTGTTTCACTAGCAGCCATTAGAAAATTTCCTTAGTGAATTAACTGGATTAAATTTTTTCTTAAAAGCGAAACTTCATACTGCTCACAGTTAAAGCTAATAATTTACATTCAAATTATTAGACAAATCACATTCTCTATTTAAATAATTTGGTAAACAAGAAATCAACCGTGAAATGATGGGTAATAAAATAAGTAAGCTCATAATCATTAAGAAATCTGGAAACACTGGACTAAAAGTTAAATGAAAGAAAAGAGGGAATGTTGAACGATACTACATGCGTCACTTTGTAAGTGAATCGTCGACTTTTAAATCTGTTATCAAATTCTGAAGGCCAGTCACAAATTGATAAATTTGTTGAATAAAACGATTATAATATGGTACTTTCTGCCTCTTTGAACTGGATCCTGAATCGTGATAAAATCATGATAAAACAACTGTGGATGTATACAACGATGGCCGTTAGAATTACTTTACATTGGCAGATTGACCATTTCATATAAGAATATCTTAAACTACAGTATCAAGCCTACAAATATGAATGGTCAAATTTGAGAATAACTGAAATCTAATACTGAAGAAATCAGAAACAAAAATGAAGCAAAATGTGATAAAAAGTTCAATACAAACTCAGATGACTGAAATAAAAAGCAAATTAAAATTAACCTATTATTTAGTATTGGCATTCCTATTCACCGCTTTCGTTTTTTCATTAGCTAATTTCCATACTTTTTTATTACCTGTGCAACGATTAAGTCAAATTAACTATGTAAAAGCACTGCTCATACCACAATTCAAAAATCTGCCAAATCAACTGTGTTGGAAAAGGCATTAAGCTTTGAGATGAAGTAACCGCTACACATAGGTCAATTCCAGGTCACTGCAATAGTGAACAACTACAGAGAGCATTGTACAGCTTGCAGTGGGATGGAAATAAAACAGCTGTTATTGTACGTATGCAAATGCATATATATAATATCGATGATGATGAAGACGATATTAAATTGTGTACGATAGATGTGTCTATACATAATACATTTATAAATGAATAAATAAATAAAATAAAATAGATAAATATATATAAGTGGAGTGTATGGGATAAGTGTATGTGCGAGTTTATTTCTCGCAGAGGGAACAAAATATGCATAAAATTGATTCTGCCCTGTTCCATTCCAAAAAAAAACATTACGTATATCTATGGAAAGGGAAATTCATCACTGTTGTCGTTGTCGCTGTCTTTTGTTGGTGTGTTGGACGAAGCTTGAAGAGAAAGCAGTGGAAAGGAGAAACGAAGTGGGCAACAGGAAGAGATGTCCACTTGGCTTGGGTATTGCTTGTAATACTGTCCTTTAGTGCTAGAGAGTAAGTGATTCTACAACAAATTCGTCGCTGCCATGTCACGCATACGTATACCGTAGTGCAGTACTGATAAACACTGCAGCAATCCGGACGTGGAACCAGCGTTGCAGTTATCAAGTCAATCGAATAGAGTCCGTACAAAGTGGCTTACTTGTTCTGGTAAATGAACGAACCGGGAAGTATGCACATTGCTCCGAAACTGAAAGCCATCTGGTATTTGATATTTAAGCATTGCGTATCAATCGATGGTCGCATGAAGTCCTGCCACTGTTTTCTCTCTTGACAGCATGATGACTAATTTCAATAAATTTGCTGATGGGACATAACTGAAAGAATGAGATCAAAATGCCTATACCTCAAGAATATTCTGTCGTGTCGTATGATCAACTATTAGCAATCAATAAAGGGATGGTTGTCTTGTGAATAAATATAATACTGGCAAATAGAAAAATCCAAACGATATCAGAGAATGAGCTAAAGGATGACGAGCAGCGTCACGTAAGCTTAGGTACTTAATTGTTCTAACAAGTAAGTAGCTATATGCACTTCTCACAAACAAATATTTAAGAATTAAAATAACTGAGGAGGTGATTGTGGAAAAAAACGAAGCGATGAGCATAGTTGTTGAGAGTCGATGAAGTAATAAAGCGGAATTAACGCTGAAAAATTCTCTGCCCGACTTTTCCAAATGGCATCTCTATCACCATTATCATCATTATTTTACATTTAACTGTCGCCTTCTCTAAACGATAAACGATTCTCGCACTATATATAAATATATACATAATATATGTAGACACAATTTAATTTTTAGCAAAAGTGCAACTTTTTTCTTAGCTGTAATTTATGTGGCACATGTATATTCTCTGCTTAATGCCTCACAACTCTTAGTACTTGCATTAATTTCGAGAACCCTAGTTCTAGAAAGAAGTTTGAAGTGTAAATAATACAAACTGTATTTATAACTTTTTTTGAAACAGCAACGGCGTAATGGGGGGTGATAAGTACTGTCCTAGTGATATAAAAATAGTGATGATAATTTCTCTTGCCTTATTCTGATAATTATTTTTAATCGCGCTTGTTGTAATCTATATGAATAAGGTTGACAACCATTACTGCGACGATGACGCTTGCAAGAATTCAATTCTTTTTTGCAGAGTATATGCAGTTACCCTTAACACAGCATAGCAGTCAATGTATGTGTGTGTATGTTGTATATATATGCATATATTATGATGTATTGTATTGGCTGATGACAAATTCATATTCTCGAACTACTTCTAAAATTACATATGGGCACAAATGAAAGCATTCTTCTTTGCATGCGGTACCCATAAACATCGATTTAGGTGAAATGATGTCTTTTTATGGATGCGTGGGAGGATAATAATTTTATAGACCTTACAGACCACGTAAAACTGGCCACTGTATCCATATCTCATATCTTAATTTTCTACTACGAGCCCTAAAGCTTTCAACTGAAATTAGCCCATCCAAGAATCGAGCAAATTTCAAAACTTCTCATCAGTTTTTGTTTAACTGGATAATGATTCCAGTTTTGATGAAATGAAAACAGTTAGCAGCATATCTTAAACAAATGTACAAATTTAAATCGAATTTAATTTTACATAGTAATAAAGGAAATTGACGAATGATTGCGCACCAACACAAACGCATCTTTATGCATATGTATGGAAATTAAAATGAAGTAGTATTGTGGTAGTTCATCAGAATTAGGTAAATTTCAAAGAATGGAGGGTGAACGAAGTGATATGCGCAATTTTGTATGCACGGGTGTTGTGTCAATGTGTTTATGTGTGCTGATGTCGCTGTCGGTATGCATGTATGTATATATACATATATATATATATAAATATATATATATATATGTATATATATGTGTGTGTGTGTATGCGTGTGTGTCGTTTGCGATTTCAGTGTAAACTTGAAATGAAACGAAATGTAAAATGCATACATTTTATGCATAGAAGTTAGTGATTTGTGATAGATATTGTGAATTGCGTCGTTGTTGTATGGTGTGATTCTACGATCGCAACGGGAAGAAGTCAAAATTCGAATCCCTCTCTCCAGTCCTTGCTCTTCTTTCTCCCTCTCCGTATTTGCTACAACCCCTCGTTATCATCTCAGTTGAATTTTTGACCTTAATTACTTCTGACCAACTGCACCGCAATTGGAAATTTTTAAATGATAATACAAAATATGGGAAATCATGACTTGAGCTGTTTGACAGAGAATATAGACAGTACCATTAAGCAAACAAATAAATTAATTGCGCAAATGTCGAAATCAAAAAGTGGACAAACTAGCAGGCAGATGAACAACGAATCTATGTGATGACTAGGTTAGGCACATTTATTACGATGTTATAAGATTCATAAACCTGATTAATATTTTGGAAAGGTCAATGAGGCAATGACCAGTGATAATGAGAGCGAATATTTAGCATTTGATTTCGATTATTATTTCAACGATTTCGGTATTTTCCAAAAATGTTTAAGATCAGTAAGGAAGTGATAAGAGTGACTGACAATAAACTTCAGGCATTTTCGGCATAGCAGGATGAAATGTATAAATGTGTTTCGAAATAAGAATATTTAAATTATCTGAATTTCATCGCCTGGTATAAGAAATTAACGGGAAATCTTCGAGACATAATGAATTAAAGATGAAATGTCACTATAATGCAACAAAGTTCAGCGAGTATGGGATTTGTTTGCTTTCTCGTTTAACTGTTATACGAGGACAAATCGGACAGCATAAAAAAGATTTCGAAATTTTCGACTGCATGAAGTTTAAAAATCAATCAATAAATTTATTAATATCAGTCAAGATGTAAATGTACCTGGTGACTGATGAAATATCTGTTATACAGCGATAAGAAGAAAATTTTAGAAAATGAATTCGTTTAAAAAAATTAGGGAAAATGGAGTTGCAGAACTTTCGAGCAGTTGCAAAAATGCATGCTCTCTGACTTCCTGTGCATCTTCATTCTGCTTTTTCTCTCTCTACACAAGTAATGTTTACTTAAAAAAATGGTGAAGGGAAGTATCATTGTGTTACGCATCAAACAACAACAATAACAACGATGATAACATAGGAATGGCACTGATGACAGCATAGCATTACACATTTTTGAGACATAATAAGTTGGAGGAGAGGTTCAGATGTGATGTGATGAGTATTCCTATATCATATCATATCATATCACATCATATCACATCACTCATGGATTCACTGAAGATCGATTGATTGCAACGACTCCCTCAAACACTAATTAATTGTCGGTGCCATCCGAAGTAGTATCATCGCATCGCGGTGATAATGACATAATATCATAAACACACTTTC